CTCGGGGAGAAGAATCATGAGCGAACGCCTCCTATTTCGAGTGGAAAAGGGCGAAAAGGCGACGCGTCGGAGGCGGTGGGCGTCCCACTCGGGCCAGGCTGCCTCGGGGTTTGTTTATTGTTTATGGTCGCACGAACGCACGCACACCGCCTCTTATTTGGGCTTCTGGCCTCCTTTTGAGCTCTTTGGTCCCCCTGCTCGGCCCTTTCGGCTGGGCCTCGAAGTTGTCTCGAGATTGGCGGGTGGGGAATATGCAGGGGAATTCAGGTTCGGGGAATTATATTGGGTGAAATAACCTTCCCGAACAGTCCGACATTTTGTTGGTCCGTCTGTTTTGAGGAAGAGAGTTCCGTTATATTCTGCAGTCATATCTACAAAGCATTTCACGTTTGATTTTGACTCTCGTAATGTACATGCATGCTGTTCTTATCAATTTAACAAAAAGTCTTATGCATTTCATCCAAGACGATAAGTTATCTCCGTGGCCCCTCGCCGGAGAAACAAACGGAGCCCCTTGGCTGTCGAGTGGTGAGACGTCGTCTGCATATTAGCAACTTTTTTCATTTAATTTACATCCCTTCCCTGCTACCTCTACGCACCTCCATTTCTAAAAAATAGACATTCCATCTCCCACCGACCAATCTCCCGAAGCAAGATCAGGGAATCCCGCCCTCTGGAATAAATAAAAGAAATAATATTCGAAAAGAGCGCGACGTGCAACAGGAATCGACCGCCGCCGTCGAGCCCGGAGGACCATCGCGCGCACCACAGATACCGATCAATTTTTTCGACCGGAGCCTTTCTCTTGCTTTTGGGATGAATGGAAATAGCAACAGGGACAGGGATTCTAGGATATGACCCACTGCAGTCGTCGAATCATGTTGATTTGGCCCCTGTCCGTGGCTCTTCGGGTTTTTTTATGGGTGTATATCGACATCACAAGGGCAGAGAAAATGCCAAACACCTCTATCTTTTTTTTCTTTTAATTCTACAACCGAAATTTCACGCTACGATCCTCTTTTTTTCGCGGAGGGTATTGCGTAACCTCGCTGATTTTCTAATATTTACGCATCTGTAACCTGCATACCTATTGTTGCACATGTCTCCTTATTTGTTATGTGAGAGTATGAGTTCAAATTACTTGAACTTTCGAATGAACTTTGGCCACGTCTTGCTACGTGCGCCTAATAGTTCTTTATTCATTATAATAACCCTTTCCCCATGCCAATAGATGATCCGCCGCGAGCAGTGATGCAATAATTGATGGTCCATGTTGCAAATGCGAAGTATTTATGAACTTTTTAGCCACTGATGAGTGTTACAGCTCTCTCTCTCTCTCTCTCTCTCTCTCTCTCTCTCTCTCTCTCTCTCTCTCTCTCTCTCTCTCTCTCTCTCTCTCTCTCTCTCTCTCTCTCTCTCTCTCTCTCTCTCTCTCTCTCTCTCCCTCCCTCTCATGCACATACATATGATTATGCACACGCACGAATAGACACACAACATTCATACTGGTATATATGGTGTGTGACATTTGTACACACGCATGTGTGTGTGTAAACAAACATATGTGTGTGTGTGTGTATACACACACACGTGTGTGTATATATATGTATGTATGAATGAATGTATATTACATATATATAATATAATGTATTTATGTATATATATATTCACATGTATATGCATATATACACATATACATACATATATATAATATATATGAATATATATGTATATATATATATATATGTGTGTGTGTGTATATGTAAATATATATATATATATATATATATATATATATATATATATATATATATATATATCTACGTATATATGAATATATGTATATATAAATGTACACACAAACAGACACACACACACACACACACACACACACATACACACACACACACACACACACACAAACAAACACTCACACAATATATATATATATATATATATATATATATATATATATATATATATGTATTCACACACACACACACACACACACACACACACACACACACACACACACACACACACATATATATATATATATATATATATATATATATATATATATATATATATATATATATATATATATATTTATATTTACACACACACACACACACACACACACACACACGTATATATATATATATATATATATATATATATATATATATATATATATATATGTATATATATATATATATATATATATATATATATATATATATATATATATATATATATGTGTGTGTGTGTGTGTGTGTGTGTGTGTGTGTGTGTGTGTGTGTGTGTGTGTGTAAATATAAATATATATATATATATATATATATATATATATATATATATATATATATATGTGTGTGTGTGTGTGTGTGTGTGTGTGTGTGTGTGTGTGTGTGTGTGTGTGTGTGAGTGTGTGTGTGTGTGACTATGTGTGTGTGCGCATATGTTTGCAGATGAATATTCATAAATATATATATATATATATATATATATATATATATATATATATATATATATATATATATATACATATATATGCACAGACTGATTTATCGTTAAGCAAACGTATATAAATCAAACAAATATATGAGACTGACACCGGAGTGCCGGTCAGAACGCAAATTATTATTATTATTATTCAATGAGAATCCTAATAGCCATGTACTATTAATGGTATAAACAAATACAAAAAAAAAACAGTACTTAGTATAATGAATGAATACACCATTTCGGAATCTGAAATCTGCACATATTAATGTTTAATTTGACATAATTACTAGCACAATATGAATATGTGAAGTATAGTTAACATCATATTTTCGTTCGCGATGTTGTTTTCTTATCGACTATCATAATCAAATAAAAAAAAAAGAATAGGACGATGCTTGTTTTAAGGTAAATTATGTAAATGACCAAAGATGAATAAGTTAATAGCAGGTAAATAGTAGAAGTTCGGATGAGGGTGAAGATGACACTGATAAAATATAAACGAAAACATTATTATTAGTAGTAGCACTATTATAGTTAATATCATTATCATCTATGTTAGTATTAATACTAATACCATTGATATTATTAATGTTATTCTTTATTATCACTGATAATGTTGTCATTATTACTATTTTGTGGTTATTATCAGTATTTTTATTACTGGTATAATTATTATCATCATTATTATTATTATCATTATTACCATTATTATTATTATAATTATTATTTTCCTTATTGTCTGTACCATTCTAATAATTATTACCATTATCTTTATCCTAATCTTTATTATCTTTAGTATTATCATTATCATTATCAACATCATCATCATTTTTATCATCATTATTATCATTATTAATGATCATTATTATCATCATTATCATTATCATCATTATCATTATCATTATTATTGTTATTATCATTATCATTACTATTGTTATTATCATCATTATCATTATTATTATCACTATTATTATTATTATTATTATTATTATTATTATTATTATTATTATTATTATTATTATTACTATTATTATTATTATTATTATCATTATTATCATCATCATCATCATCATCATCATCATCTCATCATCATCATCATCATCATCATCATCATCATCATCATCAATATTATCACTATTATCATTATTATTTCCATCATTATCATTATCATCATCATCATGATAATGATTATTTCGATGATGATGAAGGTGAGGGTGATTACTATTATTATTGTTATCTTTATTATTATTGTTGTTGTTGTTATTATATTTATTATTATTAGCATTGTCATCATTAACATTATATATAATATATGATTATATATATAATATTATCAATATTATTATCATTATTATTATAATTACCGTTATTGTAGTTGTTGCTGTTATTATTGTTATTATTAATATGATTATTATTTTTAATTATTATTATTATTATTATTATTATTATCATTATTATTATTATTATTATTATTATTATTATTATTATCATTATTATTATTATTATTATTATTATTATTATTATTATTATTATCTTTATTATTATTGTTATTATTACAAAGATGGTGATTATGATTATCATTGTTGTTTGTGTTGTTATTATTATCATTATCATTATTATCATTATCATTATTATTCTTATCATTATCATTATCATTATCATCATCATCAACATCATTTTTATCATTATCACTATTACTATGATTATTATCATCATCATCATCATAATTACCATTAATGTTATTGTTAGTATCATTATTACTATTGTTTATTCATTTGTTGTTATTATTACCGTTATCATCACTACTATTATTATCATCGTTATTATAATGATAACAATTAGGATAATAATAATAATAATTACAATAGTAATGATAATGAAAATAGTAATGATAATAATAGTAATAATAGCAATAACAATGCTAATAATAGAAATAATTATTATAGTTATAACAATAATAGTAATGGTGATAATAATAGTAGTAATAGTAATAATGATGATGATGATGATGATGATGATGATGACCATGATCATAACAATAATTGTTATAATAATGATAATGATAATGAAGACGATAATGATAATGGTGATAATGATAATAATAGTAATGATAATAATAAAAATGATAATAATAATGATAATGATAATAATAATAATAATGATAATAATAATAATAATGATAATAATAATAATAATAATAATAATGATAATAATAATAATAATAATAATAATAATAATAATAATAATAATAATAATGATAATAATAATAATAGTAATAATAATAATGTTAATGATAATAATAATAATAATGATAATAATAATAATAATAATAATAATAATAATAATAATAATAATAATAATAATAATAATAATAATGATAATAATAATAATAATAATAATGATAACAATAATAATAATAATTATAATAGTAATAATAATAATGTAAATAACAATATTGGTAATCATAAGAATAATGATAATGATAATAAAAGTAATGATGATGATTATAATAATAATCATAATAGTAATAATAATAGTAATGAAGATGATGATGACGATGATGATAATGATAATGATAATAATAACAAGATGATAATGATA